ACTTGGCTCAGTGGCAGAGGCCCTGCTTTGCCTGCAGAAGGTCCCAGGCTGGATCACTTCCATCTCCAGTTTAAAGGAGCGGGTTGTAGGTCATGGAGAAGACCTCTGAGGCCTTAGAGCAGGGGTGTCAAACATAAGGCCCAGAGGCCGAAACCAGTCCATCCATGGCTCTTACCCGGCCTGCAAGCAACTGGTATGCATAGAAATCTAAGGTACTCTCCCTTTGATGGTATGTTTGGAAAAAAACTAGTCTTGCATATGATTAAATACAATTATTGGGGCTTTTGTGGGTTCCTCCGTAAATCAATTGCTTTCACTGCTAGGAATCAATTGCTTTTATTTGTATTTTGAGTAAAAATAGCATTGTTAATTGGCTTTGCCTGTGTCCTTTATAAAGTTTATATCTCTGGTACCTGGGATTACATTGTACGGCATACATGGCCTGGCCCGACAAAGTGACATTTATGTCATATCCGGCACTCGTAACGAATGAGTTTGACCCCCCTGCCTTAGAGAGCCGCTGCCAGTCAGAGTAGACAAGACTGCCCTTTATAAAATGGTGGTCTCAGTATAAGGCCGCTTTAAGTGTCCATTAGCAGTTACAACCGTCTGGAGAGAAAAATATACTGTTCCTTAAATACAGGACTGATGGGTGGTTATTAACCAGGTGATGTTATTTACCTCCATACCCTGAAAAGCTCCAATTGCTCATTGCTAAACCTCTGTTAAAGGGACAGGACATTTTTCTTCAGGCCTGTTGAAAACCCTAGTGTTTATTCGTAGTCCTTCCTTGCACTGGCCTGTACGATCTCTCTGCATTTGGGGGGCTTAGTGATCAATAAGGTATGGTCAGCCTTCTGGGGGTGGGGCTCACGTAATCAACTTGTTTCTTCACATTAAAAAAAGAGAGAGAGACAGAACTCCTCTCACACAGAAAACTAGAATGTCAGGGAGCAGGCTGGCTTGGCCTCCCTTGCGATATGAAACGACAGTGCAACCCCGTATGTGAAATTACTCCATTAAAGTTAATGCACTTGCAAGGGAGTAACTCTGCACTGGATTGCAGCAAGAGGTTTACCACTACACCCAGGCAAAGGTCACTTTCCACCCATGAACCTGACCTCCAAAAACAATGACGCAAGGGCTTCAAAGAAGCATATTCTATTCTATTTGCAGAAGGTCCCAGGTTCAATCCCTGGCATCGCCAGTTAAAAAGACCAGGCTGGAGGTGATGGGAAAGACCTCCTCCTGAGACCCTGGAGAAGCCACTACCAGTCTGAGATGAGAACACTGACCTCGATGGACCAATGGTCTGATTCAGTATAAGGCAGCTTCATGTGTGTGTTCTACAGAGGTGCAATTTTTTTTAAAAAAACATGCGTTTAATCTCTGGCTGTGCGTCGTTATATAAACACTAGAGGTGGGGGAAGAGGTGCTGGAACTTTTCTTGCAACTTTTTATTTCAGGCACAAAATTGTCTAATGCAATCCAAGATCTTTTCTGACCTTCTGCAGCTGGGAAATCTGGACAAGGGGGGCTTGGAAGCAAGCTACATTTTACTTCCTAAAATGCCCTCCACGCGATAATGAAAGGAATAATAGTTTAAGAAAATACTGGACCGTTGCCATGTTTTGCACCCATTTGGCTTGGGTGCTTCGAGGGGAAAGGTGGCATCTCATATTTAAATGCCCCCCCCAGCTCTGCTCAAAACTCAAGAGATACTCACTGCATAATGTTTCTCAGAGCACATGTTGTTCCCCAAAAAAGTATTGTGGATGTATTGACTTGTGACTAATGAGCTCTGTGAACGACGGAGCCTGCTGAGCTGACATAACCATTCTGGCGATTTTCTCAGAGTTAGTTAAACGTATGTGTAAATTAAGGGCACGCCTACGCATTGGGACCGTGTGTAAAGCTGGCTTGCACATTTCAATCTCCCTCCCTAGCCAAAAGGAAGTTTAAATGGGCACTTGCCCCCCAATCATCCCTTAGTACGGTGCCTTTCCCCATCAGTATTTAGATATTTAGACTGTAAACTCCTTGGGGCAGGGACTGAATTTATGAAGCTCTGTAAATCACCACAGTCACAGATGGCATCATAATTTTAGAACGGCCTTGAAAGAGGGTTGATCATCATCATTTCTCACAGAGACTGCTGTCTTTTCCAAGAATTACAGCAAATTATGATTCGGAGCACATGAGGTCTTTGACTGATCTACGGTTCCCAGAGGTTTGAGGCCAGCACCCAATGCCCCAGTCCAGTGATAATTCAATGGGAATGCACATTGCCTGATTTAGAGGTCAGCTCAGCTGTTTCCGCTGGTTTTGCCGCTGTTCCTGTTTTCCCTTGTGGAATGTCTTGCACATGTTGAATACATGTGGAAACTGATTCACTCCCATTTCTTACCATCCTCTGCCGTTTTGCCTCCTACCTTCTTCCATCCTCTGCTTCTTCTGTTCTCTTTCCTAGGCACTGCTGTCTAGCATTAGACTGTAAGCTCCTTGGGGCAGGGATCTGTCTCTTGCTTACATCACTCTGTGAAGCCCCGGGCACACAACGATGTAAATGATGCACTGGTGATCCCTGGCTGGAAAACCATCCAGCTGCCCTCAACCAGAGCCAGGGCTCTTTCAGCCCTGGCACTGATCTGGTGGAACTCTCCGCTGAACGATATCCATACCTTGCAGGACCTAGCTCAGTTCTGCAGGGCCTGTAAGACCGAGCTGTTCCGCCAGGCCTACGGTTCAGACAGCAACAGTTCCCACCTAGCCTGGCTCCTCCTTTCTACTTTTCTTTCCTCTCCCGCCACAGGGTTAGGATTTACTACTGCTGTAAGTTTAAGCGTCATCTGAAATTGCCACCGAATTGTTATGGCTTTACATTGTTTTTAACTGATCTGTGAAGGTAGCTCTTGGAATGTTATAAATGTGTTTATTGGAAATGTTGTTCGCTGCCCTGAGCCCCGTGCCCAGGGGAGGGCGGTACAGAAGTCAAATAAACAAACAAATAAACAAACATAAACAAACTATTCTGCTAATCCACACTGGGATTCTTTGGCAAGCCATGAGAAACGGGATCTTGTGTCGCTTTCCATCCACGCAAGGGGCCACTGTTTCCCCCCACAAAGTGAGGCTCCAAAGAAAGTTATACACCCAGAGCAGATCCATGCACAGAAGAGAGCGAGGAGGACAGTTAAGATGGCCTGAAACTGGCTTAGATTTGCAGTGTGATCATGCATTTAGGGCCAAATTAGACATGAGATGCAGGTGGGTGTAACTTCCTCCTCTTTGTTCCTGAAAAGCTGCCTCAAGAGGCTGAAAAATTCACCAGGGCAGTGGTGCCGAACTCTTTCTCTGCATGCCCATTTCACTGTTCACGATCACACCCACAAGCGCAGGGGAAACAACAGCAGAAGAGGTGGGGAGATCTTGAGCAGAAATACAGCTGGCAGAGAAAGGACTAAATCCCTTGTTGAGACCTGCCATTTCCCCCTTGTCGATGGTAGCCTCCACAGGCTGCTTTTCATTTCAGAAAAGGGAGGAAGGTACACATATCTGCATCTGTACTGTTAACCCCCAAGTCTCCAGTGTTACAGTGTCAAGACGCTGGAGCATATCCCTGGAGTGCTGTGCAGGGAGTTTCATGTGAAGGAACTAGTTATCAGAAATAGGAAGTCTGGTGCAAGAAAGAGAAGGCAAAAAGAAGCCTGAGTTCGAATCTTGCAGCTGTCCACACGCACAGCAATACATTTTGAATCCCGTCCTGCAGCTGTCTGCACGCACAGCTGTACAGAGAAAGGGTGGGGAAGCGCATGCATTCGTTGTTCAACAAAAGCGTGGAGGGGTGAAAAATTGGAAGTACTAACCTTAAAGCTCCAGTAGTTGGGTTGCTAACAAACACAAAGAAAAAAGAAAAAGAAAAAACAAAACAAAAAAATACCATTAAGATTCTGTTTTGAGAAAACAGTTGACTTTAAACTGTGCGAGAAGTCACGGCTTGGTGTTCTTTGTTTAAAGTCCCCTCCCAATGGTTTTTTTTTTCCAAACAAAAGCAATGGAATTTGCCAAAATAAAGAAGGGATGGTCAATGGGAATTGTACAAGCAAGGCTTTCGAAACAGGTAAATGTGGCGGCAGAGATGGAGGACTTCACTGCAAAGAAGAAAATTAAAACACAAACAAACAGCACCAGGGTCTTACAAGGGGAAAGCGGTGGGCAATCTGTGCACCAAGGAATACCGTATTTTCCTGCGTATAAGACTACTTTTTAACCCAGGGAAATCTTCTCAGAAGTGGGGGGTCGTCTTATACGCCCAGTCGTCTTATACGCCGGAAAAACGTTTTCCCATCGTGAAGGAAAAAAAAGAAACAACCACAACCAGATTTTGCACCCACAAAATGTCATGCAAATGAGGAAACTTGATAGATGTATTTGCTCACTTTGCATAATTTATGTCACTGCCAAGATTTTTCAAGTCTTCAAAGCAAAGCCTACGCCAGAAACCAGTTTCAATCCTGAAATCTGAGCATGCTGAACAGTGTAATGGCCAGCCGCAGAGATAATTGCATCTCTCTCTAGGAAAGCAGGGTTCAGACATGCTTAGAAAGAGTGCAACAAAAAGACTTCAGGGCCCAGAGAGCAGGAGTATGCACTGGGCACATATTAATCATCAGATAGGCTGGGCAGCAGCACGCGACTACAACAGCGCTGGACTGCTTTGCTGCAGGCAGCAACAGGTCCAGTTCCCTAGTGGGAGGGGGGCTGAGCAGAAAGTGCACAGCCCCCCTCCCCTTCTCTGCTCATGCCTCCCTTTGCACCCACCAACCCACATACCCGTGCATCATTTCCCCACCCAAAGGTTGCCAGCTCCGGGTTGGGAAATACCTGGATATTTTGGGGGTGAAGTCTGAGGAGGGGGGGCTCTGGGGAGGGGGGGGCTTTAATCGGCTATAATGCCATAGAGTCCACTTTCCAAAGTGGCCATTTTCTCCAGGTAATCTCTCTCGCCTGGAGATCAGTTGTGATTGTGGGAGATCTCCAGCTACCACCTGGAGGTTGTATCTCAAAATGAGAGCTCACAGGAAGTTGGCAACCCTTCCCCTCTCATGAGCCCTCCCACTGCCCATGTTTGCAGATGTCTGCACCAGCCACATGACCTCTCCTATGCTGGGCAGTGTGTAAGGCTGGGAAGAAGAAGAAGACGATGAAGAGGAGGAGTAGGAGTAGGAGGAGGAGTTGGCTTTGTAACCCACTGTTCACCAGTGTTCCCTCGAAGCTGAGTTCGTGTGAGCTAGCTCACAGTCTTTTAGCCTCCGGCTCACACATTTTTGTCTTAGCACGGGAAGGATGGCTCCAGAGCAAACTAATTTATGCAGTAGCCAAATTGCTCGCTCACAACTTTAATGCCAGTAGCTCACAAAGTAGAATTTTTGCCCACAAGACTTCACAGCTTAGAGGGAGCATTGCTGTTCACTACCCGAAGGAGTCTCAGAGCGGCCTTCCCCCTCCTCTCCCCACAACAGACACCCTGTGAGGCAGGTAGGGCTGAGAGAGCTCTGAGAGAGCTGTGACTGACCCAAGGTCACCCAGCAGGCTTCATGTGGAGGAGTGGGGAATCAAACCTAGTTCTCCAGATCAGAGTCCGCCACTCTTAACCGCCACGCCACACTGGCTGATGGAGCGCTTGCAGGCTAGCAAGGTGGGTTTAGGGCATAGAAATCCACCACAGTGGGCCCCAGCAGACACCCTGGGCCCTGGCTGATGGCCCAGCTCAGAGCATGCTGTCGCCAGCTCTGTGCAGCAGAGAGAGCCACGTGGCATTTGTGGGCATCTGAGAAGAAAACTGGCTCTTGGGTATGAATAAGAGTAGAATGCTGTGCATAACAGGCAGATTCCTGAACTAGTGAGCGAGCACCTAGGCTGGCTAGGGTTGCCAGCTCCAGGCAAGGAAATTCCTGGAGATTTTAGGGGTGAAGCCTGAGGAGGGTGGAGTTTGGGGAAAGGAAGGAGCTCAGTGGGGTATAATGCCTCAGTGGGGTATAATGCTCTTTTCTCCAGGGAAGCTGATTTCTGTACTCTGGGGACCAATGGTAATCCTGGGAGATTTCCAGGCCCCACCTGGAGGCTGGCAACCCTAAAGCTTGTCGCTTGGTGATGTTCTTTTTAGAAGTTAAAATCAGAGAATGCATATAGCACTTTCAGCTGTTCAAAGCACTACCCAGTAGTGCGTGAAACACAGGTCCCCTACCTTTTACAACAGACCACTTAGGTATTGTTTTTTTAAAGTCACAGGGGACCAAGAACTGGTGGGGTTCGATGGGAAAGGGCTTCTGGATTTCATCCATGCAACATTTATTTATTTAAATATTTATACCCCGCTTTTCTCCCCAGTGGGGACCCATAGTGGTTTACAACATCTCTGTCCCCTCCCCACAACAACAGCCCAGTGGGTAGGCTAGGAGAGTGACTGGTCGAACGTCCCCCAGTAAGCTTCCAAGCAGAGTGGGGATTCGAACCTGGATCACCCTCCAAAGGAGAAGAGGAGTTAGTTTTTATACCCTGCTTTTCTCTACCCTAAGGAGTCTCAAAGCGACCTACAATAGCCTTTCCCTTTGTCTCTCCACAACAGGCACCTTGTGAGGCAGGTGGGGCTGAGAACTCTGAGGGAACTGTGACTGGCCCAAGGTCACCCAGCAGGCCTCTTGTGGAGGAGGATTGGGGAACCAAACCCAGTTATCCAGATTAGACTCAGCCACTCTTAACTGCTACACCACGTTGGCTCACAACTATATTTTCTCCAGGGGGACGGATCTTGGTCATCTGGAGATCAACTGTAATAGTGGGAGATCTCCAGGTGTCACCTGGGGGCTGGCAGCCCTATGTAGGATGCAAAAAAAAAAAAAGGTGTTTTGACCTGTACTTTGCACCAGAAGTGAAAGGCAGGGCAAAAGCAATGCAAGGTACTCTGGGTTTGTAGAATTTTGGGAGCCTGCAATGACAGACAGAAAGAAAGAAGGAGGGAGGGAGGGAGGGAGGGAGAGAGGGGGAGAGACAGAGAATAACAGGCTGCTTTAGGAGCATAATGGGCAGACAGACAGACAGAAGGAGGGAGGGAAGGAGGGAGAGAGAGAGAGAGAGAGAAAGAGAGAAGGAAGGAGGGAAGGAGGGAGGGAGGGAGGG